GCAACATTATTTATAAATTTAAATAAAACATAAATTAAAGAAATTTAATCAGACCGATGAACTGCATTAAAAAAAAATTTTTTTTAATCCGCAGAAAGTTTGAATCGATCCCGTGATAGCAAAACAATTCGAGCAGCGGCATAAGCATCGTACAACTTAGCTACCGAAACCTCGATCCTAAGGAATCTGAAAACCACTTATGTTTATTAATAACCTCCGGAGCTTGTCCTACAGTTCATAACAATTTTGAGGAAAAATAATAAATTAGGGATTATAACTGAACTGCCATCCTTAAAAAAATAGCTAAATTTTTTTTTCAAAATAATACTGAATTTCAAAAAAAGTATTAAAAGTAGGGGAAAAAGAAAAAAAAGAGAGGCAGCAAAAATCAGTTCAATTTATATTATATACGATATACTCGGTTGCAGTCAAAAGAGAAAAACTCGTGTCGTCTCTTGCTTAGGCTCTGCGCTCAGATACATAGCTATAGTCAACATTTCCACTCGTCTCCTCGTAGACACACATTCGGTACATAGAGATCGAGAGGTCGTCTACAAGCGAGAAAAAGGTGTTTCGTCCCGAGAGCACGCCAGGACGCATCTAAATTGACTCGATCGCGCTTATTTATTAATCGTGCGGGAATTTCGCCGCTTGACGGGAGAGAACTATTAGGGGCTTGGCCACCTGGCAAGTAGAGCCTGAAGTGCGAGAGATGTGAGACGCCACAAGTATAACTATACCCCTTCCACATGTTTCCAAAATGTGCCCCTATATGATCATTTCCACGCGAATCCATTCCTCTTCTCTTTGGCGCACGCTATTCGATACGACTGATACGAGTACTAAGATGTGCGCCCGGTTCAACGGCTGGTCATGGCGGAGCGCTCCGATCAGTGCCAAAAAGTCGTCTCGCATCGCAGCATGGGCGTTAGCAATCTCTCTACTCATCTCTGACGCAATCATCTTTACTGATTGACTCAGCAGCTTCGAATCTTTAGCTGACACATCCCCTTCAAACGTATCCCCCCATGTAACCATTCACCGTATCAAGAAAATCCTCTGCGAACTATACTCCTCAAACATATCAGTCATCCTAGCCTGGATCCCCAGCCACAAAGGCATCCCAAGCAACACAAAAGCTGACCTACTTACAAAGGAAGTCATAAACGGTGGCCTACTACTTGACTATCCTCTCCCTTTTTCGGATTACCAAGCTCTACTCAACTCAGAAATCGCCTCGAAATTCATCCAACTCCTTAAAGATGTCAACTCTGGTAAAGATCTTTTCTACTTCGATATCAGTTTCAAACACTCCGCAAAACCCTGGTTCTATTCTCTCTCCCTATCAAGAGACCAAGTCACATCTTTCAGCAGAATGCGTTCCAACCACTACAACCTGGCCTTCAGCCTTCACCACAAAAATCTCATCCCAATCCCAGACCCCAATTGCCAATGTGGCAATGACATTGAAGACCTAAACCACATTTTTTGGTCCTGTGAACGCTTTAACTCCCAACGAACCCCTCTCCTCAAAATACTATCCAAATTAAAGCTATACCCCCTCTACACAATAAACTCCTTCTCAGCCACCCCATCAGTCAAACTCATTTCAATTCTTCACAACTTTCTCCGCAAACGCAACATTTCTCTCTAAAATAATCATACCAGCCCCTACTAATGTACTAGACCCAATTTCATTTCTAAACCGCGCGCCCCATCACGTCCCACAGTCCACGCCCTGATGGTCTCCGCGCCTTCTAGTCCAGTGTGATGACTGCCCAGCCAGCACCGAGTTACCCTAAGGAATTCTGGAAGATAAAGGTCAAGATCCAGTTAACTTGGAAGTTACTTTGATAAAACTTACAGACAACGCATGGTTCTCTTAATACCAGCGTAGAGATAACTGAAGTGAATAACTTCACGTCATCTAAAGTTAACTGTAAGTAAAGCTTTCAAAGTTAAAATTTTAACTTAAGTTAACTGAACTGTAACTTATAGTTATAATGAAAGTTAATGGAACTAATGCTAGAAGCTAACTTTTTTAGATATCTTTAAGCTAACTTTAAGATTAGAGGAATGTTCTTATATATACATATAAGTTGTGACGTTCCCTTTTGCGTCACAATGTTCTTTAAGAACGAATAAAACAAATAATGTGGGACTTTGCCTGGAAGGGAGAGTCGAGATGACGAAGGAGAAAAATGTCTCTACATGCACGTGATAAAGCGATGTGTGTCGTAATTTTGAATCGTCTACGAGCTAAAAAAAAACACTAGCACACACTGTGCGGATATCCTTCTCCTCGGCCGAATGGAACACTGAATGATTTGGGAGGATAAAGGATGAGGAACGGGCACTCGTCACTGTGGCTAAGCCATAGATCGAGGAGGCCCGGAACGATATGAAATTCCCGTCCTCGTACTTACGACCTTGGCGTTATTGCAAAACTGGAACCAGCGAGAGAGAGGGCTCCACCGCCATCCGATGCTTCCCAAGACGTTCGACGAAAGCTGAAATGATACTTGCATGCAAAGACGCCAAATTCAAAGAAACAAGCGAGGCGGGATTTCGTTTAAGTACCAAGGCTTTAATGAAGCAAACTTAACAATACATATCTTTCTATAATGCATACAAATTATTACATCAAGCAAAACGTAATATTTAAATAAAGGCGTACAAAAATGAGCGAATAGCAAAGAAAGGAAAAGTAAGCGTTTAAGCGATAACCAATATGAGCTTAAGTCAAAATTATAATATGTTTAAAATAATAACCAACGCGATGCATTGAAGCAAATCATAGCGGTGCATTTAAGCTACTCTAAATCAAGCATTGAAGCTAAGTGCCTTGGTGCATTGAAGCGCGACACGAATGTATGGCGGATTCCCCGTTGGCACCAGAAAGATCAAGTGTCTCGATCAAGCCAGTACCATCGGAAGAATGCCTACCGTCGTGTGCTCGCCGTGCCTGGATGGTGCTGTCGGATCGCTTGCGGTAGGCGCTGCCGAAACCCATTTCCTATGCGCCGATTGGTAACTTGCGGTGATGGGCCATGTATTGAAGCCCGAAAGCATTGCGCTGCGCGCGGCGATCTACCTGCTCTCCGCCCTACGTGCACCTATTTAAAACACAATTAGTAGCAAGCACAGCGTTAGCTATCAACATAAAATGAGAACAAAAAATATTTCTACCNATGGAAGTTAATGGAACTAATGCTAGAAGCTAACTTTTTTAGATATCTTTAAGCTAACTTTAAGATTAGAGGAATGTTCTTATATATACAT